TCCTACCCGTCAGCATGGACAGAGTGGTGGTCTTCCCAGCACCGTTGTGGCCCAGCAGGACGGTGATCTGCCCTTCGTACATGTTCACCGTTAGGTCCTTGACTGCCTCCTTCATCTTGTTTCCCACTTTGAAGACCTGTGGAGACCACGTTCACGAGCTGATGCTCTCGGAGCCGCCCACTCCATCCCGCCCGTGACGCTCACACGGTGTTGGCATGAAGATGTTGGGTCTTAATTCACATTAAATATAGATGTCACTGCACCTGCACGTGCCCAAGGCTTCAGCCCACAACAAAACCCTGGGGAAGAGCTTTCCCTGCCATGCAGCAGCCGAGCAGGACAGCCCCTGGCAAGGAGGGGAGGGTGGCACAAGGAGAAGGAGCTGCCCACAGGCAGCAGTTTTTACAAAAATAACATTATGGTGTGGCTGTGCTGCGCTGGGCGGTCGGTACCTTGGAAAGGTGCTTTATTTTGATTCCCGACACGAGGTCGGCAGGTTCCTCCTCAATGTACTGGCTCTTCAGGGCTTTCTCGGGGTCCTCCTCCTCCTCCTTCTCTTTCCCCACCACGGTCCTGGGGCGCCCACACCAGTATGAGGGCTGATGGAAGAAGGGAGAGAGAGAGAAACTCAGGCAGAGGCAGAGACCATCTCTTCTCCCCAGCCTATCCATCCTCCTCCTCGCATGGATCTCCAAGACCACTCTCCTTGGCCTGGGAATTGCCAACCAGCACATCTTCAGTTGGCAGGTCAGGCAGAGGATAAAGCTGCTCCTCCTGCCTTCTCCTGGTTCTCTCTTACAGCAGGACTGTCCGTGATTCCACAGGCACCTTTTCCCTGTCTTCAGTCCCATGGAAAAGGTCAGTGCTTCGACGAGAAGCAAAATTGCTCAGGCAGAAGCACCCTGCCCAGAAGAGCCCACATAAGGGATGATCATCCCCTCTACAAACCATGACACACACTAAATATAAAAAATCTGGAGTCTGGCTGCTGCAATTACAGCCTTTTTTATTTTCCACTTGGCTCTCTGGGAATGAAAATAAACGTTTGGGATCTCAAATCCCTGTGGAAATAGCAATTCAACAACTCCCGGACCCAAAATCAGCATCCCGCTGTGGCTTTTGGCAGATGGCTGTATCTCCACTACCTGGGTCTCGCTGCGAGAGGGAGCGGGATGCCGGGGTGGCACCACGCCGGGATAAGGAATTTAGAGGGGAGGAGGAGAAATCTCCCGACCCAATAACAAGGGATATGGCCACGGGATCAGAACCAATTGCATCGTTGGGGCTTAAGGAATTCTCCGCAGGCGGCTGAGCTGCAGGAACCGCGGCAGCTGCGGTCGCTGAAGGCGATGCCAAGCGTTGGACTTGGCAGAGGGAGGGCAGCTCAGCTGACGGGATGACGGCCATCACCCAGCCCCTGGCACCAGTCCGGGGGTGCTGGCAGCGGGACGCAGACTGCCCAGGTCCCCCCGCCTGGGGAGTTTCAAATGACTGGATCTGGTTGCTCACACCTGGGGCTCCTCTCCAACACTTTTGCTTGGGCACGGAGACACTCAACAACCCCCTGCACATCAACGAGCGTTGGGACAAAGATTTAAAGCCAAGAAGACTTGCAAGATGCACTTTATATTCCATAAAAATAGGGATGGATCAGCCTTTACGTGCTGCAGAGCCCTTGCTTTTGGAGGCCAGGTGTACGTTAGTCTATCCCACTGCGTAGCACGGAGCGATGCCCATCCTGCCCACTGGAAGGGGTTCGTAAACAGTGCTCACCGTCATGAAGAAGTACCACGGCTGCGGCACGCCGTACTCCCCGGGGAAGACGGCCTCCACGTACCAGGCCCCCACGCCGTAGAGCGCCGAGTCCAGCAGCAGCATCCCCAGCACCTGGGCTAAGGTAAAGTTGTCGTCCACGCTGACGGGCTTCATGAGGTCCCTCCACTGAATGCCAGTCCCTGCAACGCACACAGGGCACTGCCTACCTCTGCCGAGAGCCCTCGGGTGGCCCCAAAGGCACAACGTGCTCTCCAAGACTGTCAGACAGCATCTCCCACCCTTATTCACGGCTCGGGAACGAGGAGCACGTGCACGGCTCTGCGATCCCCCTTCCTACGGATGGAGAGAGACGCCGCAGCAGAAAGCACACCGACGTCTCGAGGGTCCCCACCCCACGGCGTGCCCTCCATCGCACCCTCTGGCACTGCCCAGGGAAGAAGCGATCTCTTCTCCAGCCACTGCCCCTCCGGCACCGCAGCCGCCTTTTTAGCGCCGTCGCTTTGCCAAAGCACGGCCTCCGCTGGAACCGACAGCCAAATTCTTATTAACGTAGAAATTAAAAATTTATATTGGGAAGGAGGAAACGCGATGGATTCCCATCCGTTGGAACATGATTCGTTTGGTAATTAACACAACGATGGCATTTTGCACAGCCCAGCCTGGCAGGGTTCGGAGAGGCAGAGCCCTGGTGCTGATAAGACCTGCGGGAGCAATCAGCAATTAACCCCCCTGCTCTCGTTAGGAGCGGGAAAGTGCTTCTCCCCAACTTCTTTCCACCCTTCGCATCCCATGGGAGCCAGTCCCAACCAAGCGGCTCCTCTCCCGAGGCACTCGCTCACCTTTTCCTTCAAACATGCCTATGAGCTGTGCCCCCATGGCCATGGCCACGTTGGAGATGAGGCAGGAGGCCAGCTTCTGGCTGTGGGACATCACGTCGTAGCGGGGCGAGATGAAGAAGTACGGGATGTAGGAGAAAAAGTAGAGGAAGCCGCCGGCGGCAGCCCTGCCAGCACAGAGGAAAGCGTGAGGGAGAACGTTAATAACATGGTGACGCCACCAAATGTTTCTCACCAGCTTCCCATCCCTGGAGATTCCAGCCTTTTGTGCCAAGCGTGGTTACAGGGGGGCAGGATGAGGACATGACCATGTCCCATGGCAAGGCAGGAGCCGTGCCGGATCCCAACCCCACTGCGGGCAGCTGCAGAAGCCCCCTGCCCATCCCAGACCAGAGCCCCCAGGGCCAAGACAGCCAGACACTGCTCTAGCACATGAGCTTGACTGGTTTGGGACGTGACAGCACACACATCCCTTCCCACGCACCGTGGGGAAAACCCAGCCAAAAAAAGAGAAGACAGGCTCCTCGTCCGCATGTTGAAGCAAGTTATCCAACACGGAGCTCTGCACAACCTGACGGAACTGTGGAGCTGGCCCTGCTTTGAGCAGGATGGACCCAGGACCTCCAGAGCTGCCCCCCAGCCAAAATTAACCAAGGATTTTACAGCACAAGGTCCATAATGCTCCCCCCGAGCCCCACGGGTCAGTGAGGAGGCAGCTGGGGAGGGACTCACCTCTCGAGAAGAAGGTGCTCACCATGAAGTTGAAGGAGATGGAGGAGACGGAGAAGATGGCGAGGAAGGTGAACACCAGCGTGGGATCGCTGTTGGTGAGCACCGCTCCCTGTTCACTCACCTACCGAGAAAATCTGGTTACGCTCAGGGCTGGTACGTATGGGCAGCCCAGACCTGACGTTCTCCATGGGCTAAAGACAAACTGAGATGGGTGAGAACACTGGGGCCCGCCTAGACCCCTCCAGAGGCAAGAAACATGGGGACACCTCACTCAGCATCTTGGCAGCCACCTCCTGCTTCTCATGGTGTGGGCACCAGCAGAAAAGAGAGCTCGAGCCCCTCCAAGGGCACGCAGGGCTGTGGGCACAGGGTGGTCCTGCTCCGCATGGGAGCGTCTTGGTCTCCCCGGCACTCACGGGGCTCCCACCCCTCAGCCCTGTCCTGGGGAGGTCCCCCCGCTGTGAAAAGTAGCTGTTGAGGGGCAGCTGCCCACCCAGCTCTGGAAAAGGCCAACTCCAGCCTCCGCTATGCAGATGGAAGAGTCCTGAGGTGCCA